TTTTTTTTTTTTTTCAGACAAGGTTTGTGAAGTTGCCCCAGCTGAGCACAAACTTGTGCTCCTCCTGCCTCAGCCTCCCAGAATGCAGGGATCACACAAGTGCCACAGTGCCCGGTTCCAATGTTTTATTTTTGGGGGGTACTAAGGACTGAAGTCAGGACCTTGCGCTTGTGAGGCAGGCACAGTGGCACCACTGAGCAACATCCTGTCTCCAATATTTTATTTTTACTGATTTCTTATTTAAATCAAAGCTCAAGCACTTTGGGCCAGGCTGCAATAAAACAAGAGGGAACAGTATCAAGCCCAATAAGCACAGCACCAACACCTCCCAGAACCTGCGCACCTCTCTCAACTCTGCTGCTTTTGTAAGCAGGGTCCAGCTGCGCCTAGGCGCCAAGGAGCGCTCGGTCTCAGAGGGAAGCTGCATCTGGCCGCAGAGGCCCAGTAGGGCTCACGGTGCACACCGGGGACAACAGGTCCCCACAGCCCTGGTTCCCAAGTCCTGGGTCCTGGGTGACTCCGCTGTCTTCAGACTGCCGGGCGCCTTCCCTTGCCAGCCTGTCCGCCTCCTCATTGCCCGTGAATCCCGAGTGGCCGGGGATGTGCATCTATCAGACAAACGTTCGTGGTCATTTGCCCGTCGGGCAGCGCACAGCCACACTCACTGTCCCCAGCGTGGGTCAAGCACACACTGGGCACAGTTGGCACTGAGATCATCTGGTGGCAACATCACAGACACCCAGATGGCTGCTCTCCTGCTGCGCAGAGAGACTGGCCAGATCACAGGCAGAGAATGGATGTGTGGATGTGCACTCGGAAGGCCGAGGCAAGAGCACCACCAGTTCGAGGCCAGCCTGGGCTATGCAATGAGTTTTAAGGCCACCTGGACCACACAGGGAGACCTGGTCACAAAAATCAAAAAGGAAGGACAAAGAGAAAAGAGGGCTGGGGCTGTCGCTCAGTGATGGAGTCCCTGGGTTCAGGCTCCACTTCCACAAAACAAGTGAACAAAAAAACGAGAGAAAAGCCTGGCGTTGGTCACAGCTAAGGGAATCAAACCTGTTCAGTGCACAGCCCGCACTCACCCACTGGATGTCCATGCCCTGTGTGAGCCCCTCCAGCCGCACGAAGTCCTCCTTGTTGATCACCTCCTTCCCCGCACTTGTCCTCCACCCATTCTTCTTCCAGCCCGGGACCCAGCTGGTGATCCCTAGGCACACATGGCTCGTCCACTGGTCGTGTTGGGGCTGCACCCCCTCCCGCGCCCTACACCCCAGCCGCGATGTCACTGCCTCTGCCTGAGGGTCCCTGTCCCGCTGCACCTCCCAGCGTGCTGTGGCCCCGTCACTTGGGCCCCTGACCCTCTGACCAGCCCCTGTCCTGCATTGCCCGTGAATGAGCCTCCCATCCCTTCCAGTACCCGAGGACGCACTCACCATTGATGGTAAACATGCTGTCCGTGCACAGCACCAGCTTGCTGATGTTCTGGGTCTTGGCCTGCTCTATGGCCTTGCAGGCTGCCTGGAGACGGAAGGCCAGTGAGGTGGGTGGGGATCCACTGTGCCCTTCCTGCACGCTCGCTCAGGCTGGGGTTCTCTACAACGCTAAGCACTCTGCTCCTGTTAGCACCTACTTGAGATAAGGTTTTAGATTTTTTCAAGAAAATTCCCATCTTTCAGATTTTTTAAAACCCAAATTTTGTTTGGGACTTCACATGCCCTATGCGTGGATAAGGAAAAAAAGGCTGAGTGCTTGTGGTCAACCTGAGGAAGAGCAAATACACACTTCTGAGACTACTTACATGGATTTCCGCTCTCTGGTTGGTCTGTCGCCCGGGGAGTCTGATGCCCACATTCCTGTTTCAAAACAGAATAAAAGGAAATCATAAAGTTAAGTCTTGAAGCAATTCCCATCAATGGGAACAACAAAGTAGTGTGTTATTTTCTGAAATACAAAGCTTCACAGCACAAACACAGCCTTTCAAAGTTAACAAAGTGACAGCTGGGCGTGGTGGTGCACGCCCGTCCTCCCAGTACTCTGGAGGCAGAGGCAGGAGGATCACTGTGAGGTTGAAGCCTGCCTGCACTACACAGTGAGAGCCTGTCTCGAAGAAAGAAGAAAGTCAAAGTGACAATGGCAAGGCTCTGGAGGAAGACACCCTGGGGTGGCATCATACCACGGAGGCCACAAGTCAAAGGCTGCACTAAGGCACTGGCCTGGATCTCAGGTGGGCACAAATCCTGGGCACTGGAGCCACTGGTGCCCTCCCACCAGGTATGCAGCTCACAGGAGATGTTAACAAGAAAGACCTGTGAACTGTAAAGCACGAAAGCTGTAGACAGCAGCACTGCTACCGACCGTTTACACTACCCACACCTGCGACACGGCTCCTGTGGGCCCAGACATAACGGAAACCAAAGGTGAGAGTGGGGCTGGGCCTCCCGGGACACTTCCCGTGCGTGCACAGAGTCCCACGGCCCCGGGTACTTGTTAGGCTTCTCCCCAGGGCCTGGTCTGGCTGAAGGACTGCGCCTCCCCTCACCTCGACTGTCTCTCGCACAGTGTCACTCTGGGCCACGAGTCCTTGAAGACTCCAGTGACACGATGGCTCGGAGCCGGGCCACCTGCCTGGGACCCCGCAGCCCCACCCCCTGCACCACAGGCCGCTCTGTGGGAAGCTCTCAGGTGGTCAGGGACTCCAAAGAGCAGACAGGAGAGCACCACAGCAGGTGATGAGGCTGCTCCCCACTGCCCAGGCAGCGCGCCACCCGCCAACTTTCCACCATGGCCACCCACCAGGACGACCCATCTTGGCTTTCACACGCTTTGGAATCTGACTTGCTAGAATCTGATGCTCAAAGCCCCGGCTCTCCCCTCCCACTTACAGAGGGTGGCCGGGCCCCCAGTAGACGCCGATGCCGGCTCGTGCCCTCTTCCTCCCGTTACTGGAGCAGCAGCCATCAGTGTAGACAACAACGGAGTCTCCTGTGGAGGAAACAAGGGTGCTGCTGGACCGACCCGCTGAAACTGAAGTGCACCTCTAACTAACATGTGTGAGGCAGTGGCTTCCGGCTCAGACGGTGAGGTCCACTGCTCAGCCGTCCTGTGCTCCCCATGAGCCTAGCCGCTCTGCCTTGGAACCTGCAGTGAGACCCAGACTTGCAACCCACACAGGTGGGGTCGGGAAGGTGGTGCTGTCCCCGCCGTGCAGCTGGCTAGCCACAAATGGCTTGGCCCACCACTGGCGGCCTCAATGCCTGATAGCCAGTCACCAAGTCACGGGTCCCAGTTTGTCTGACATAACTGTAGGCCTGATCTGTAAAGACAGCTGCACCACACATTTCCACCGGTTCCTCTGGAATTAAACACAAAATGGCTTCTTCTCGGGGAAACTGTGAACACACAAATATACTGATTTCTATGAGAAATGTTTCTATTCTCTGTTCCTACGTGGAAAAGACAAAAAGGAGACTTATACAAGTCACCACCAAATACCACCCATCCTGAAGCTAAAGGTGGAGGAAAAGCTCGTGACTCTCACATCCCGGAATGCAGCAGAACATCCTGAGACCAACGAGATGGGGGTACAGGGGTAACTGGCCAGAGTGGGCAGTGGGACCCTGAGGAGCTCAATGCTATACCTCCCTACCTTAGGGCCCTACCACCCTCTGTGCTCAGGAAGTGTAGGAACAGCAAAATACCGCCATGGATTTTCATTTTATTCCACAAAATTATTTTCCTAAGAATATTCAAAAGTTTAACAGTTCTGCACCACTTGGTCATTACAGTGACTTTGCAGTTCTTCACTACAAAGAATGAGGGCCGAAATCTACTCAAATTTCTCCCTTTTAGAGTAAGAAGGTTTTATATAAACATTCATTCATTCATTCATTCATTGGCACCAGGGACCGAAACCCAAGGGCCTTTGCACTGAGTTACATCCCCGTTCTCCCCTACCCTTTCTGCTCTTTTGAGATGGAGTCTCACTGTGTATTCCAGGCTGGCCTGGCACTTGTGATCTGCCTGCCTCTGACCCCCAAGTGTGCACAAGTGGGCCTAGCTATGACTATCACATGCTCATTCCTTATCCAGGCAACACATACCCATGTAAGAAAACGTGTCCCCGCTAACAGGAGGGGCCAGGACTGTGTTCTGCCTCACGAGCTTGGCACTCGGCTCTGTGTCTGCATTTTCACTGTCCTCCAGAGGCTGCCAGAGCCGCTTGCTGGCTCTCACCTGTGCTTCTTGTGTATCTTTCTCCCCTGAAAGACAACATTTACTCATGAGTCAGAAACAATGCACTGAATATGAAATGCTTAAGAATCCGGAACTCCGGAGTACTATTTCCTCTCACTAAATCAACTTAAACCCCTCTGTGTATGGCCCTACTAAGAGGAATGGCTCAGGACTCACCAGCTCATTCTGACATCCCTGAAATTATTCTACATTTTCCAAAATAAGCTTGATATAGACAGAGAATATAACAGCATCAAAACAAATCTGGTTTTGACGGTGGTAATAGAAAATCTCTTTATAGATCACAGCCAGCCTGAAAATCCAAGGGGTTCTTTCCCTAGGAAAAACAAAAGCCCGTGTTCCATATAGCTCAGTGGTGTCTGGGGTTCAGCCTGCTCCCATCCCCAAATGCTACAATGAAATGGATTCCATGTAGAGATTCTATAAACTGACCTACAGCCCCAGTCACATCCCCACACAGAATTTTTAAATCTCCTGTCCTGTATCAATAGCTTTGCTTATCTCAGCCTGGGCATCAGTCTTGCCTATCCCTTAGATTAGGTTTTCAATACTTTCTGTAATACACGGAATTGGAAGAAATTCCAACTGTCACGGTGTCCTAAATAAAAAGGAAACACCGAGAGGGTGTGTGCTGTGAAAAGAAATACACTCTTCCCTTTAAACCACAGCCTATTTGCTCCAATGACAGTACAAGTTTCTTTCTTTTTTCTTTACACATAAGGAATAGGCCAAGCATGCTGCCACATGCCAGCCTGGGCTACACAGCAAGACCCTGTCTCAAAAAAATTTTTTAAAAAAGAAAGGAAGATAAGAAATTGTGACCTGCTGAACACACTGAATAGGACAGGAAATCTCGGTCCTTGTCTGTGTCTCCAACCCCGTTACTGATATGTCTGATGATTCTTTAATCTTTATTTATTCCTTAATGGAAAAATGACTGAACGACATTTGGATAGGAGAGGCTGAGTGGGGTAAAATGTCACAATGACACGAGAGGCAAGTACCTTCTGAGCCATCTGGGCTCGAAGACTTTTTGACAAAGGCCCAGGCCTCATCCTCCGTGGCAAACTTCTTAAATCTGGCAGCAGGAAACCGGTCCACCTGTGTTCTGCACTCATTCCTGGAAAAGGCCGGCACGTCATTTCTGACCTCTCCCTCTTCAATTTACCTCCAGAAACAACACTAGGCACAAAAGGATTAACTGATGTAGTCTTTTCTTAGGTTGGGAATAGCATAAAAAGGAGGTGCTATCAGTTCCTTGTGTCAAAGGTTCACAATATCCAATTTACAGTTTTATTTTATAGGTCAGATTCTACAATTCCTGCTCTGGTATATAGCAGCAGACAGTACATTAGTGCCATATGGCTTTACACAAAGTAAAAAGCACGCTAAAATTCAGGGATCATTGGAAAAAGGAGCCTATTAGTCACCTTATTACAGCAAAAGAGTCAACATCTGAGATGCTATTCCTCAGTAGCGTACCTGAGGCATAGGGAAACATGCACAGGCAATAAACCCTGGCATCATAAGGGAGACGTTCTGGGCACCGAGTCACAACACCAGGGCTCACAACACCCGGGCTCAAGCTGGACTTAGGCCATTCGCTTGCCTATGAATTTCCTCAACTCAGGGATCTGAACGTGAAGATAACCCCGGGGGTGCAGTGTTACAGAGTGGGTGTTACAGGGAGCCAACTGTGAATGCTAGTTTGGCATTTCTTTGTGCTTTCTTCACAAACACATCCACGGAGGACAGGATTAGGTACAATCTGAGTTCTACTTCCAATTTAGCGGCATGGAAAACGCGGTAACGATAGTTCGTACTGGTTCTGTATTACTTTTGAGGGTTGTCTGAATCTCACTATGTAGCCCAGGCTGGCCTCGAACTCAAGACGATTGTCCTGCCCTGGGCTCCCCAGTGCTGGGATAACAGGAGGCTGCGCCACCACCTTTGGCTATGTGTTTCCTTTGGGAATTCCTCAGTTGCAACAAAGACAGTCGCTCCCAAACTACAGTGGCGTTTCTGGGGCGCCAAACGCTACAAGAAAGTAGGGCTACGGGCTCCCGGCCTCCGGGCGGGGAGACCCGCAGCGCTGACACTCACCAAGTCGAGAAGACCCCGGTCCTGCGGCCCCTCCGTACCGCGTAGAACATCCCTATCGGGCAGCAATCGTGGCTGTAGAGCACGGCACCCAGGGTAATTCTGCGGGCCAGCGGCGTTAGCCAGCGCATCACTCAGCTGAGAGCACAGCGGTGCATTTTTAAGGTCCCAAGGAGCCGAGCGAACCGTGAGCGACCGCGACCACACTTTCCGGTGGCGGCGCGGGGAGATGACGACCAGGATGGGGCGGGGGTTTGCAGGTTCCCGGATGTAACTGAGGCGGCGCGACTGGTCCTCCGATGGATTACAACTGGGTGGGGTTCCGCTTGCAGCTTCTCCGGGGGAGACGGTGTACAGGTGAAGGACGAGAGAGGGAGTGTGGACCATCCTGGACCCCGACCTTGGGGTGCGCGCTCGCCGGGGCAGCCCTTTTCTGTTCCAAGCAGGCAGCTGACCAGGGCGTGGCCAGGCATGGTGTGCTGCTGTAATTTCAGCACCCTGGGGAGGCTGAGGCCAGAGGATCACAGTTCCTGCCCATGCCGGGCAAGTTAGTGACTTAGTGAGAACTTATCTCAAAAAAAATAAAATAAATAAATAAGAAAGTGCTGGAAGTCCAGGGTGAAGGTGTTGTGCCCAAGTCGCGAAGTCCCCAAAGACCACCAAGGAGTCATGTCCGATGCAAATGCAAGAGGAGTTTATTGCAAGCTCGAGCCTGGACTCTCGGGTGTCACCGTCACAGCGGCTTCAGACCGAGAGCCCAGATCCAACTTTGAACCAAGTTTATATAGGATTTTTCTGTTACTATTTTTAGTTTTCCCTTATCATCAAGGGGCATCGGGAGAGCACATTGGAACATGATCTAATGCTTACATTTGCAAATTTATTATGGGGTGCTGGGAGGGTACATATTGGTAAGTTACCTAAGGCCTTTAGAGAATTAATCCCTCTTTTCATTAGACAATTAATTCCTCTTTTCCGACTTTTGCTAAGATATATGACTATGTCCACTATAATTAATTCCTATATCAGCTATAACTAATTCCTATATTGATTAGATCACCCAAAAAGAAGCTTTTATATCAACTATACTTAATTCCTATATTAATTGAATTACAAAAAGAAGCTTATCTTAAAAAGAGGAACAGAAGCAGGGTGGAGATGCCCTAAAAGAGGAACTGCAATTGTCAAAGCACAGAGAAACTGCCACACAGAATGGAAACTGTCACATAGAATGGAATTTTTCAGAAAGGAACTTTTGCATTTACTCTATTCTGGGTAAGGGGCATGGAGCCCACCGTGACCTGGAAACTTGGACCTCACATTGGCACTGTTCAATTCCCCAGTATGGCAAAATAAACAGATAACATTGTACCATAGATAGATGATACATAAAATAAAAAGGGAAATCCCAGCCCCAGAACAGTCAAATGAATAAAGACAAGTGATATCCATGCATAATGGAACACTAGTAGGCTATAAAGAAGGATAAATTCAAGGCATTTGTTGGAAAATGGATTCACCTTGAAAAACAATGTTAAGTAAAATAAATGGTAAAATATGGTTTCTCATTTCATTAATGCAAAGTGAAAATAAATAGCAAAATAAAAGATCAGGCTGGGTGTGGTGGGACACGCCTGTAATCCCAGCACTTGGAAGGCTGAGGCAGGAGGATTGTTGTGAATTTGAGGCCAGCCTGAGATCCTGTAAAGTGAGATCCCATTTCAAAAGAAACAACAAAAAAAGAAAAAGAAACAATAATAATAAAAGATTGGTACAAGAAGAACAAAGGGTCAAATTTGGACTCCAGCCCATAATAGGCCTTCTGCCAAACCCCCATCTTACTGGTAAGGATGCCATCAGAGATAACAGTTGGTCCAAGATCTGAGAGTTACAAATGAGGCAGCAGTCCCCATCTGTCCGCTGCTGTCTGAGGTCACTGGGGACACAGTGGCCCTCAGGGCTGGACTTAACGATGCTCGCTTTCCTGCCCCCCTGAATCAAAGTCCCACTTCCTACTCTGCTCTGAATGGGAGGGCCCTGCCAACCAGCCCACGAACACTTCACCTGGACTGTTCCCTGGGTAGACAGAAACAGCCTCTTCTGTGCGTCGGGCCTAGCAGAGGACACCTGGCATTTGTGCCTGAAAAGGAGAGCACCCTCCAATATACTGGTGACCCCTTATTGGCCACCCCACCAAGGAGGTGTCTAACCAGACTGCAGAAACAGTTCTCAACCACCAAGCCTAAGGCCCAAAGCTCCCTACACAAGTTATTCACTGTGGCTGGGTCCTCCTTCCAGGACAGAAATCTCTGTCTCCTCAGAGAACAGAGGCTATTTGTCAGCTGGGGCACCCTCTCCCACAAGTAACTCAGGGCGTTCCTGAGGGTCGGACTCTGCCACATCTGGATCCTTCACTATGGGGTCACAGCAAAACCCCCAGACAAGGCCACATTCAGGGACCCAATGATGAACCACTAGAATGGACACTGAAAATAGATGGAGCTTTCAAAACCTCCAAAGCTCCTTAACTCGAGCTGGAAATTCCCAGCCTGACAAAACTGTTCACTTGACATGTGATAGGGAGTGGCCACGGGGGACCTTACCCAGAACTTGGGGCTTGGAGAAGTGGCTGGCTGGGGTGGCACAGGAGTGGCCAAGACACCTCGGCCACACCCACCAGCACCCAGCTGGTAGAGGAGGCCTCCAGACTGATTGGGGCAGCCCCTGGCGGTGATGACATGCTTCGAAAACCCAGATGTGACTTGTAGCTGACCAGGGGTGGCTGAGTACCACGTGGCCCTTACTGAGTACCCAGGGGTGACCCCCAAGCCTGCAGCACCCTGCCACCTTGGTACCCAGTGGGCCTCCCATTGAACATGACTGTGACCAGGCTAACTCCCAGACCTCCACCTGCCTGCAAAGCAGATTCAGATGAACTTGCCATTTAGGGTGAGGCCCTCCTTGGTATACTAACAGGAGCAGCCTTGAGGTAGAGAGCAGGACAGAATGAATAATCGAGGCTGGTGGACTCCCTCCAAACATCTAGGGTTCAAAGATACTTTCCTGGTCCTACACTCCAGCGGGGGGCTCCATCTCCAGATCTCCCCACGGGACTCTGGTGAAGAAGCCAGTCATGGGACCTGGGAGGCACAAGGGGAGAGGATGCTGGTGGCCAGTGTTCATCTGCCCAAGAGTGCCCAGTGGAAGGTACTCAGGTCTCCATGCGCCTTCCATGTGGGAAGGAGGCCACCCTGGCCATAGCTCACCGGCTCTTCGCCAGACCGGAAATCCCCGCCGCTGTGGCAAAGATGTGTAGTCCTTGCGCCCTGTGCCTTCTGACAGCCCCTCCTATCCAGAAGGGGGACCGGGAGTATTGCAGAGCCTTCACCCCATCCCCAGCAGGCACACAAATCCTTGCTAGGATGTGTGGATGCCTGTCAGATGGGCACAGACTTCTCCCACCTGGAGAGGATGGGCCAGCTGGGTGGAGGCCAGGCCTCCCTAAAAGAGATGCTCACCAGGCTTTGACTGGCCCTCAGAGTGACAATGGCCACCTTCATCTCCCAGGTGACTCAAGGTCTTGCCCGAGCATTGGACATAAAGTGTTTGTTGCCTTACATCCTGCGTAGAGGTCACAATCCTCTGGGAAAATTAAAAGAAGGAATCAGACTGACCACAGACTACTGCCAAGCAGAGGCAAGAAACCCACTCTGAGTGAGTGGATCTCCTGCCCAGAGCCCTCAGAGGCTATGACAGGTCACTCCTGACAGCTGATTTGTTGACTGACCTGAAGACCTCTGGGTGGTTACACCACATTACCACCTGAGGGTGGTCCGAGCCCTGAGGGATCATGGGAAGCAAATCCTCCCCACTCCTGGGGCTGGAGATTCTAACGTTTCAAAAAGTCTTCCTCTAGGAGAGTCCTGGCAAGGACCTAGAGGAAGAAGGGCAGAACTAACTCCCTGAAGGCCTCGGTGAAAGGGTCCTTATGATGTTCTGCTAAACACTGCATTGCCACTAAGATACGTGGGCTAGACAGGTAGATACACCTTTCCGAAATAAAGCTGTGCCCACTGGTCACCCCTGATGGTCAAACACCAAAACAGGGCTCGGCTAGGGTTAGGGCGGCCTCTTAGTTAGCCGCCCCCTCTCCACCTGCCCATTATGAAGGCTGCAGCCTCCCAGCAGGACCCAGACCACACAAAGCGCAGGGGTCCTCGGTGTCCCCTGCCCCCGTCCATCCACAGGAGTGGATCCACGCTCACACCCCTCTCCACCTCCAACTGGGAGCTCGGGATTGAGGTAAGTACTGCGGTGGTGTCCATATGCCATCCGTCCCCACTCAGGCTGGGCCAACGTGGCCCAGGCCCATTTGAATGCTTCCTCTGCCCTCCTGGAGCTGATCTTCCAAAATGCCCCCAAATGTCCCTTCACCTTCTCCCTGACCCAGTAGGGAGGCTTGCAAGCATCTTCAGCACTTCTACCTCTGTCCTACTTTTTGTTTAGGACAAGGTCCTAGGCTGGCCTTGAATAAGTTTCTCAAGGGGCTGCAAAGTTGTGATCTTCCTGCCTCAGCCTCTTGAATGCCGGGAGTAGCAGCGTGTACCCCCCCTCAAACATCTAATCCTAGCTTCTTCCTTCTGGCTTTCACATCACACCTGACCAAATGAAATTTTTTGGCCAACATCTTGGCTGTTCCCAGAGCCTCTTTTTCATTCCATATAGGGACTTCTGGCCTCCTGGCTTTCTTCACACCCTTGGGCACAGCTCTCTGCCCCTCTGGTGGTCATGGCTGCAGGTTGGGGCAGGGCCATCTACAAATTCCAATTGCAACGGGGCAGCCTAAGCCTCGAGGACGGGGTTCCTCCAGATGTTCCACAACTGTCCACCAGCCAGCAAGAGTACTGGGGTTTGTGTTGCACTGATGGCCTGGAGCTTTCCCGGCACTGATTCGTCAAGTACTTGGGTGCCAAAGAGCTTTTGACAAACATCGCCCAATTCATTGTAGAAAGAGCTGGAACCCACCATATGCTTCCTCTTCATTGCCTCAGCAGGGAAGTTGGAGTTCGCTCAGTACTAAATTAAGTGTGTTTCATTTGTTTGCTTTTTCAGAACTAGGGCTTGAACCCAGGGCCTCACACTTACTGGGCAAAAGCTGTACTGCTGAGTGATATCCCTCATTTTATTATTTTGACACAGGTTCTCACCAAGTGGCCCAGGTTGGGCTCCTACTTGCCATTCTCCTGCCTCAGCCTCCTGAGTAGTTAGAATTATAGACGTGCACCACTAGGCCTGACAAGATAGCTTTTCAAAAATTTAAAAATGTTTTTCTCTCCATTATTTTGGTAGCGGGAATCGAACTCGGGACCTTGTGCTTGAGAGGCAGGCGCGGTGCCACTAAGCTAAATCCCTGGCCCAATTTTTTCTTTTTACAAATATTTTTCTCTTACGTTAGTTTTTTAAAAAACATCCTGTTTTTTTCCCCAAGCATGGTGATATATGTATAATCCCAGCACTTGGGAGGCTGAGGCAGGAGGATTGCTTCAGTCTAGAGGCCAGCCTGGGCTACATAGTGACCTCAGGGTCGGCCTGAACTATATACTGAAACACTTTCTCAAAAAACTTCCCCGTAAAAACGTCCTGTTTTATCCAGTGGCCAAAGTTACTTTAGTATTGCTTCTTCGCCAAAGCCCAGGCCTGTTCATCCAGCTGTTTCCTGGAACTGAGATTGAGAGCCACAGCCTTGAGAGAACACGGTAGGTAAAACGGCACTCCAGGTAAATTCGCCTATAGGTTAGCAAAACGCACACACCTGTCCTCCGGCGGCACTTCCGGAGACACTCTAGGCGCCAGAGGCCTTCTCAATGGCTCTTCCTGTTTTCGCCCCCCCCACGGGATGTGACGAACTCTCGCGAGAGCCGGGTCTCTTCCTAAACCGGCGCTCCGTGAGGTAAGTTCGCGGCCTGCCCAGTCTTGTGCTTTTGTGATGGTTTTGAGGGTCCGAGACCCAGTGGGGTCGTCCTGGGCGGCGGGCCCTGCGTCCTGGTGGGGATGCTTTGGATTACCGGGTCAGCGCTCGCCGATGGCCCCCGCGGACCTGTCGGGAAAGCGGGCTGGCGGCTGATCCGGCGTTCCTTCTTCAGGGTCTCGCCATGTTCAGTTCAAGTGCCAAGATCGTGAAGCCCAATGGCGAGAAGCCGGACGAGTTCGAGTCGGGCATCTCGCAGGCGTTGCTGGAGCTAGAGATGAACTCGGACCTCAAGGCCCAGCTGCGCGAGCTCAACATCACGGCGGCCAAGGTGAGCGCGGGGCGGGCCGGGGTCTGCGCCGAACTCCTTCATAGGCTACCGTGGAGACGGACCCGAGATAAAGTTAGTGCGCTTTAGGAGCAGATCCAGATCTTCTCTTCACCTCCAATGTGACTGCAGCGTTAGCTTTCTGTAGCAGTGGCCTGGATTTATTGTGTCTACTTAGTCCTGCACGGTGGCACTCGTGTAATCCTAGCCCTTGGGAGGCTGAGACAGGAGGGTCACCGCAGGTTCCAGGCCAACCTAGGAGACCTTGTCTAAAACCAGCTCAGCCCCGCTCCCCGAACAAAGAACAGCATACCTGCTTTTGAGACAGGATCATGTGTAGCTCAGGCTGGCCTAGAAGTCTTGGCAATCATCTTGCCTCAGCCTCAAGTGCTGGGATTATGGGCGTGCATCACTACACCCAGGCCCCTCTGAGAGTGCGCTGGCTGTGAAATTTAACCTTGCTGCCTAAGGAGCTGGGATTACAGACACGCGCCACCACACCAGTTTGAAGTTTACTTTTTACATGGTCTTCGGTTAAAAGTTGAGCGTTTAGGCAGCTTGGTCCTACACAGAGGACAACTTGCATGCGTTGGTGTCCATTTCCATAGACAGGACGTGTATTGAGCCAGGGTCTTGCTGTACAGCCCAGACTGGCCTTGAAGTCAGAGCTGTCCTGCCTCAGCTTCCTAGTGCTGGGACTACAGACGTGGGCCACCACACCCAGTTTGAAAGTTTTCTGTCATGTTTGTGGGACGTGAGAAAGACAGTACAGCTGTAGTGCTTGACACTTCCGTTTTGCTTGTCACTCCACAGACAGGTGAACTGTAAGTAGAGGTTTGTTTTGTTCTCGAGGTCATGGGGTACAGGGCACATCCTGTGATGGCCTCCAGCTGCCCAAGTCCTGAGGCACTTGTGTCTGTTTGTTCCCCTCCTTCAAAGCCACCTGGAGGGGGTGGCAGTGGTCTCCTAACTTAAGGCTCCACCTCTGAGTGTCACGGTTTAGTTCCCACTTCAGTGCCTCGCAGTGAGGATTTGGCTTCAGCCCCTGAGCCGCATGCAGACTTTATCAGAGCGAAGAGCTCATCATCATGATTGAAATGTCCTGCTTTGAACCAATGTTCACTGAATGAACGGCAGTGTGGGATTCTGTTTTAGTGGGAAGAAAGAGAAGTGTGAGTTTTCAAAAGTGGGTATTTTTTTCCTTTTTCCTTCAGGAAATTGAAGTCGGCGGAGGTCGGAAAGCTATCATCATTTTTGTCCCAGTTCCCCAGCTGAAGTCTTTCCAGAAAATCCAGGTCCGGCTGGTGCGTGAGCTGGAGAAGAAGTTCAGCGGGAAGCATGTGGTCTTCATTGCACAGGTAGCTGTCCTGCGGTCATGTTTCTGCCTCTGGGCTTGGTTAATGTTACTGTGCTGGGCTGCGGTGGTCTTGAGTGTGAGGAAAACAACTGTTACGTAGTAGAGGCTGCCAGGAAAGGTGGGTTTATCTTGAGTTAGATGCAGCGCATCCTGTCTGAGCATCACCAGTTGTCTGGCCACAGGGTGGCGTGTTTTGGAGTTGTCAAATGACTTTCCACGTCCACAGTGCCACAGGTGTGTTGTGGCACAGGACTGTGTCCAGGGGCCACTGTGGTTGGTGCCTAGCAGTGCTGCCGCCAACAGGCTGAGCTGCCCTGGGATTCCGCTCGGGGGATCAGAAGGGGCTGAGGGGCCCCAGGTAGGGAAGGGCCGTCAGAAAAGCTGTGTTAGCTTCCGGTCTGGCTTTGCAGCCCAGCCCAGGCTATATCCTGTGTCCACCTTGGGTTAGCTGGGCTTTTTGAATGTGGAAAGATTGAATGTTGGGGATTTCCCAGTAACAGTTTAGGCTATCTATTCTGAATGGATAATGAAAAGTCAGAAGTAACGTAAAAGGGGTTCTCAGCCTGCTGTTCGGTCTAGGTTTCATTTTGTCGAACTTAACTGTCTTACAGCGTTTGGACAGTTCTTAGCCTTCTGTCAACTTAAGATTTTTTTTTTTCTCTTACATGACACCTTTTGCCTTACAGAGGAGAATTCTGCCTAAGCCCACTCGAAAAAGCCGCACGAAAAATAAGCAGAAGCGTCCCCGAAGGTGAGTGTGGAAGTGTGTCCTCTGCGTGTGCACTGCTCCTCCCGGGCTCGCTGTGGGGTGGGCACAGCTGCTCTCTGGCTGATTCCTTCCCGTCTTGCGTCAAAGGGTAAAATATGAGAAGGAAGCTGCCTTCTTGCTTCATGATCGACGTTAATGAGACATAAGGTAGCTGGGGTTTATTTTACTAATTTGTTTATTTTACTTCTCATTTATTTATTTCTTGTTGGGGAGTGGAGGTGAAAAGCTTGGGTTCTCCTGGTGCTACCGAAGTAGAGTGTGGCCGCTGCCAGTGACCCTCGTTAATGGGTGTGAAAACAGACCCAAGACTTGGAGAATTGGCTCTTTCAGCTGCTAATAGTGCCAAGGACGAATTAGAAGTTAAAGTTTCTCTATTCTGTAAGGGGCTTTTCTGGTTTTTATTTCGTCTTCACCCTTTCCAGGCCGCTGCTGGGCCCCAGACCTACATCCCCAGCCCAATAGTAGTGCTGAGAATTGTTGTTCAGGAAATGGAAATTAGAAAGACTTGTTTGGCCAGGGCCTTGTTTCTGAGGCTGCTGGAGCAGCAGACTCTTCACCATGGTGCTTGGAAGAAGCTTTGTGGTCCCGTTTCTGAGGACCTGGTCTGGAACTGAGGCGAGGGGCTGCTCAGGATCCCCTCCGTCTGTCCGCCTGCCCACAGCTGCAGCTGCTGGGTGCTCGGGTGCAGGCCCTGTGCTCCCTCACGTGGCTGGGCTGGTGCTGCTCACACTTCCTGGCCTGCTTTTGGGCCATCCTTGGGTTCGGTGCTGACCAAGTGCCCTGGGGCTCCTGCAGGAGCAGAGGTCTTGTTTTTCCCCCAAGGCTCCTTAGTCCCCTGGGGCTGTGGTTATTGTCAGGGTGACCTTGCTGTGGCTCCCCTGGAAGTAGCCATGGACCTGTCCATCCTCCTCGGAAGTCCCTGGCAGACCTACACACCTGGCTGTTCCAGTGAGCGGCAGTGAGCTGTCCAGAGGTGTCCTGTGGGATTTGGAGAAGTGCGCTTCCACCCAGCTTTGCTTTCCGGAACAGACCCTGGAGCGGGGTGTGCGGCTCAGCATGAGCCACGCATGGGTTCCTTGTGCTGCCGGACAGGAAGTGAATGGCCAGGACACAGTGCCACCTCCTGTGTCTCAGGAGGCTTAGAGAACCAGGGTACCAGCCTGTCAGAAAGTGCCGAAACCACTTAGCCCTGCTGCTTCAAGGTGTGTGTGTGTATAGCAGGGTCCCCGGAAATCAGGATTCTAGCCAGGCTCTGGTTTAGGGTGCTAGACACAAAGGTGACAGGCATGGAGGGCCTGGATCGGGGCTTTCCTGGGCTGGTGTCCTGCGGGTTCCAGTCCTCTCCTGATGATTGGTGTGGGTCCCAGGCAACCCCACCCTGGATGCTGGGTCACCTCAGACCCCAGGTTCTGTCCTGCTGCCCAGCTCACCGTCTGGGCTCGAGCCTCACTCTGGGTCTCTGTGTGGTGGACTGTGGGCTAGGACTGGTGGGGCAGTGTTTGGGGTGTGGCATAGTGAGTGTCTCTTTGGACAAGGAGTTACAGTGGCATTTTGGAGGCCAAAGAGAGCCAAATACCCCTTAAGAGTATTTAGTAGGTAGGGCTGAGGATGTAGTTCAGGGTCACCATGCCTGTCTGGCAAGCGCAAGGTCCTGAATTTGATTCCCCGTACCAAAAAAAAGTGTTTAGCAGGTAAACTGTGTTCTTGTGGGGCTTTTTTCAGATGTGGGTAGTTGAGGCAGGGTCTCACTATGCAGTCTGGGCCGGCCTTGAGCTCTCTATGTAGCCTGGGCTGGACCTCAACTCCTGGTGAACCTCCTGCCTCAGCCTCCTGAGTTCTGGGGTTACAGTGTGTGCCGGGCTGGGTTGGCCCTGGGTTCCCTCACTTACCACTCTCCTTTCAGCCGCACGTTGACCGCCGTGCACGACGCCATCCTCGAGGACCTGGTCTTCCCCAGTGAGATCGTGGGCAAAAGGATCCGCGTGAAGCTGGACGGCAGCCGGCTCATCAAGGTGCACCTGGACAAGGCCCAGCAGAACAATGTTGAGCACAAGGTGAGTGGCTGCCCACCCCACCCCTTGGGGTTTCTGATCCCCTCTGGGACCAGAAGGCTACGCCCCACTCTGAGCAGGGAGGAGTTGGGCTCCAGGCGCCAGTGTCCCCGGTGCTGACATCTGCAAGACACATGTGTCAGAGAGTTCTGTGGTTGACTTTGCTCTTTCCTTTCCAGGTAGAAACGTTCTCTGGTGTCTATAAGAAGCTCACGGGCAAGGATGTAAATTTTGAATTCCCAGAGTTTCAATTGTAAACGGAAATGTTAAAATAAAAGTGTGGTTCTAGTATTCTGGACTATGTTTCTTGGGATCCCTGCCTTTCACTCTTTTGAGGCTGGACCTCACTGAGCTGCCCAGGCTGGGTACAACTTGCAGTCCTCCTGTCTCCAGAGTGGGGGTTACAGCGAGCACCACCACAGCCAGCTGAGGGAACTCAGATGGGTGAAAATATTTACAGGACCTATATCTTTTCACCGAAATACTGACTTTGTAGCGAAGGCGATGTGATTGACTTGATTTTGAAAAATTGGTTTAATACTTTGCTACGGTAACTTGAAAACATTTCTTAGCCAGGGGCTGGTTCAGGAGGGGTGCCATGCTTGGGCTGGCCTGGGTGTTGTGCTGGGTTTCTGCACTGGGGGTAGGCTGGGTAGCCTCCCTTTGAGGCTGTTAGGAAGAAATCGAGTTTCAGCTGGCTTTGAACCCAATTCTTAAACGTTTCTTCAAAATGGACAGCTGCTCTGTCCCGAGTGGCCGTGGGGTCGCTGACCTGGTGGACGCAGGCAGCACGTCCGGTCTGCCGCCCACAGGCAGGCGGTCCTCGTTTGGCTCTGCTGTCTAAACTTCCCGCTTATCTCCAGGAAATGTAAATACTCCCCGGAAGTGGGCTAGATCCTCCCAGCCCTGAGAGGGGTCTGTGGGGTCAGCGCTTGGCAGGCAGGTCTGTTCCCAGCCGCTGTGGGCCAGTAGCGGGTGCTGCTCTGGGCTGCAGCGGGACGGAGATGTGCCGGTGTGAGATGCCCAACGTCCTTTCCACCGGAAAGTGGTTCAGGCCTACAGGCTGAGACGCGCCAGGTCCCACTTCTGTTGCAGCGTGGAATGTTTCTCTCGGTTTTAAAAAGCCTTTGGCTGTGTAGAAACACTTCTAATTCTTTCACCTCGTCCTCTTCCCGAGTTCCACATTTTGAGGATTTTCATTGCGTATATTTTTTTGGTTTTTGTGTTTGATACTGGGGATCAAACTCAGGCCCTTGTGCTTGTGAGACAGGCGCCAGAACCACTGAGCTAAATCCCTGGCCCTCACTGCATATATTTTGATCATTTATCCACCTTCCATCTAGTAAGCCTCCTTTGTACTCGTCCTGTTGGATTCTGTGTGTGAGGGAGTACACAGGGCATTGTTCTGAGCCTGGCCTATTTATCCCGCCTGATGTTCTCCAGGTCCCTCCACTTTTCTGCACATGCCTTCCCTATGGCCAAGTAGGACTCCACTGTGTACACACAGCACGTTCTCTGTACCATTGGACAGGTGCTGAAGCTGAACCAGACCTTGGCCGTGCTGTGCCTGCAGCACAGCCTCTCCTTAACTCACTTGGGCAAGGCCTGGGATTCCTGGGCGCTGGAATGGGGCCTTGGGGTGCTGTGTGCAGAGGGGTGGGTCTGGTGTGATTGTGGGTGAGCCCAGCTTACACCTGCAGGCAGAACCTGGCCCAGCTCTTGATCAGCAGCCTTGTGAAGGGCTGGAGGACACGGGCTGGCCACCAGGGCGCTGAGGGGTGAAGATGCAGCTGGAAAGGCTGAGTGTGCCCTGTTCCCACGTGTATTTCTGTAAGCACAGCAGAAAGACCCGCTGATCCCAGCTGATGAAGACTTGCATGCAGGAGGAAAAACCACTGGCCATGGGCAGACAGGAAGCAGAACAGCACCCCAGGGGAGGGCTACATCTCCCCACTTCCAGGCCATGCCCATGGCTACCACCTCCCCACCAGGCTCCGCCTCCCAACCGGAATCCCCAGTTCTAAGCCCATCAGTGCACACTGATCCAGCTGACTCCCTCCCCAAGCCATCTAGGCACAAGCGAGGCAGCAGGGAGTAGCCTTGGGGGGTTGGTCTCCACTGCACAGAATCCCTGTGTGGAGGGCTGAGTTGCTTGTACTTTTCATAGTCTAACCACTCACCTGTGGGAGGACTTCAGAGGTGCTTCCTGCTTTGGGCTGCTACAATTGTTGCTTTAAGCACCTGAGGACAGGTCAATGTGTAAACTTACATTTCTCTGGGAAAATACCCACTGTTGCAATTGCTGAACTTTTTTTTGGCAGTGCTAGGGATTGAACCCAGAACCTTAACACTGAGCTACACCTCAGCCCTTCTGTTACTTTGTATTTTTGAGACGGTGCCTTGCTAAGTTGCCCAGGCTGTGCTTTCCACCCTCCTGCTTCAGCCTCCCAAGACAGGAGTGCAGCACCACACCTGGCTTATATGCATCTTAAAGCAGGTCCCTGCCCCCAAAGTGTGTAAAAGGGCACTTGTGGTTTCACCCCCCCAGGTGTCCTTCACACGGTGCTGGGCTAATTTGGGTCTCATTGTGAGCCAGGTCTCCATAAGTGATAGTCAGGCACTTCCACCTTCTCCAGAAAAATTCATGAGACAGAAGGAAAAGAAACCTGCCAGCTTCATTTTCTGCTGGCTGACCTGCTGCTGGGTGGTCATTACTTCTTTATGCTTAAGAATTTCCACTAGGAGCCAGGGATTTAGCTGTGTTGTGCCGCCTGCCTCACAAGCACAAGGTCCTAAATTCGATCCCCGGTACCAAAAACAAAAAATTTCCACTGTGCACATGCTTATTTAAAATGGCAAAAAGGACTGGTGACGTGGCTCAAGAGTAGAGTGCTTGGCTGACATGCATGACGCCCAGAGTTCCATCTCCAGTGCTGGGAAAAGAAGGAGAGAAAGCCATGCGTGGTAGTTTGGGCCTATAATCCCTGAACTGGGCAGGTGGGTCACAAGTTCAAGTCCTGCCAGGGCAATTTAGCAAGACCTCATCTCAAATAAAAAGGGCTGGGGATGTAGCTCGTGTGAAGACCCAGGGTGCAATCCCTGGTGCCACAGCAAAAGAAAAGCAGAAAACAGGAAAGGTGAAAGAGCCAGGAGGGAGAGCTGGGCCGGGCCGCGTTCCCACACTCCCCGGCCTCCTGGGGCTGGCCGAGGTCTCTGACCGGAAGCGGCTGCAGATAAGCAGGCTCTGGCGGCGGGCAGGGCTCCCCAGTGCCGGACCGGGCTGCTGCCTCTAAATAGCAGCAGCCATGCGCCCCGCGGAGCAGTGTCCCTCGGGGCCGACCACGGTCAGGACGCCGATCTGGACGTCCCCGCGCCTAATCGGGTGCACCTGGTAGGAGACACTGCTGGGCTCTGAGCGGGGTGGGGCGGGCTGAACCCCGAGATGGGTGTCAGGTTCCACCCGGTGGGGATGGGCGGGGATCGCGCCCTGGGGTCTTGGAGTCGGGGCTGTGGAGTCCTGGGCAGGCTACGGATTATGATGGACAGAGTCACAGGAGTGGGGGCCTATGATCCGGGGCCAGCACAGCTGTGGGGTGAGCAGGGTGGTGGCAGCTCCTGCTTGGACCCCTGCCCACCACCTGGCGATGGGGTAGCCCCAAAAGTGAACAGTGCACTGTAAGCCCCTCGTGCGCTGTGCGAAGAAAAGGGTTTTGGCGGGACGGGGAGCTCTGCTGCAGACCTGATTCTGAGAAATCTCTGTGCCAGGGACAACAGGCTGAGGCAGAAAGAGAAGAGGGGGAGAAGCATTTTCTTGCTGGGCTCTGGTAAAGAAGCCAGTGTGTGTTGTGGGTAGAAATCAGTGAGTATAATCCTGTCATCCCAGACCTCTAGGAGGCTGAGGCAGGAGGGTAGCAAGTTCGAGCCCATCCCACACAAATTATCGACTTAGTGAGACGTCTCAAAATGCAAAGTACAAAAAGAAAAACAGAGCGAGGCAGAGGGGCCCTGGGGATAGGTGGCGGGTTGGCCAGGACCCCAGTGCCCCCTAATGCTGCAGGGTATGGCTTTAGCTCCGTAGATATCTGTATCTATCTGTGGTCTACGAAACTGGCCCTGCCCCAGGGACTGAACAGGATTGCAGCACCGGGCTCGGGGCACCTAAACCCTGCCCTGCTCCAATTCTTACAGCATATGTCTTCCCGGAATTCCACGCCTAATCCCCTCTCCCCAAGCCCAGCCTCTCCCATCCGTGCTGGGAGATAAGGATGTTGTTCTTAGGGAGACCCTGCCGAGCTGCCTGCCTCCGTTTACAAGACCAAATTCCTCCCCCAAGGCGGTGGCCGGCAGCCAGGGTGGGGCCGGGGCTCCCGAGGCGGCAGGGCCTGCCCATCCCTTCGATCCTTTCACTCAGGCTGGCCCTGAACTCACTATGTAGCCCAGGCTGGCCTCCAACTCATGGCGACCCTCCTCAGCCTCCCGAGTGCTGGGATTACAGGTGTGCACCACCATGCTTGACAGTCGTTTCTTTCTTTACTTTTTTTTTGTTTAATTTTAATTTTATTAGTGCATGTTTGCAGTACATGATTATATTCATTGTGGGCTCTGGTGCATGTGCAGAACACATCCTAATTCTTTTTAAGTCCCTTCCCTTCTCCTCTTTCCTGCCCGCTCCTAGTCTTGATCCCCTTTTCTTTTGCAAAAGATCCATCTCTCTACTTCCTTTTGTCTTTTATTTTGCTTTTTATTCATGCTTTGGATGTCTCATAAGAGAGAAACCATGTGATATTTAAACTTGTGTGTCTGATTTATTTCACTTAATAATATGGTACTGGAGGGTGGGTATGGTAGGACACACCTATAATCCCAGCCCTTGGGAGGCTGAGGCAGGAGAATCCCCATGAGTTCAAGACCAGCCTGGGCTACATAGCGAGTTCAAGGGCAGCCTAAACTTTACAGCAAGATCCTGTCTCAAAGAGCTGAAACAAAACAATATGGTCTCAAGGTGTGTCTATTTTCCTACACCTGACTCAAGTTTATCCTTCTTTACGGCAGAGTAGTACTCCATTCTGTGTGAATATCACATTTTGTTTCTTTACTTTTGATACCAGGGATTGAACTCAGGAACTTGGTGCCACTGAGCTAAACCCTCAGCCGCAGTACCACATTTTCTTTATTTATTGGTTGATGGGCACATAGATCCCTTCCAAGATTTAGCTGTTATGAGTTGTGCTGCTATAAACATGGGTGCGCATGGGTCACTGTACTGTGCTGTCCCTAATTCTTTCGCCTTTCCCAACATTTTCTCTCCCCCACTATCTGGGAGGTCCCTCTGTGGCTTTCCATGCCAATGCCAGCTACTTGTTCTCTGTCCTGGAGCAGGAGGGGGTCCCAGGTGCCCAGTGAACCATCCGGGCCAGTGAGTTTCAGAGATGTGGGAGGTGTAAGGGACTTGGGCAGCAGGGTAGCTGCTGGTCTAATCCTCCCGCAGGAGTTCATGTGCCCACACCCGCGATGAGGAGCAACCTGGCCCTCGAGGGCGCACTGCTCTGCCTGGCCCTCCTGTTGCTGCCGCTGCCCGCGTGTCCCCAGGCGGCCGCAGAGGACGCCTGCTCCGTGCAGATCCTGGTGCCCGGCCTCAAAGGTGAGTGGGCTCGGGGGTCAGGCTGGGCCTCTTCAGCCTGGCCATGGAACACAGATGTGCACGACCTGGGCACCTGGGGCAAATCTGCCCATAGGTTGGGCCTCAGTTTCTCCATCTGTACACCACCGATCGGGCTGCACGGATCCTGACCTGTGGAATTTGGCTGTGGACCTGTGTGACTCCAAAGCCGGCCAGGTACCAGCCACTCCGCCTCTCCAAAGTGGCTGCAGTGAGTCCACTGGCATTGGCCTGGCACTGCACCCATGACCTCAGCATGGTAACCTTGTCTGGTCCATTTTACAGGTCAGGAGGTTCAGGAATTCGGCACTTTACCTAAGGCTCCCCCATGTGTTCCTACACTGGCAGGAGAGCTCTTTATTCTTTTATTTTTATTTCTTGTAGCCCTGGGGATGGAGTCCTAGGAACTGAGCCCCAGCCATTTTTTAAAAATTTACTTTTAATTTTGAGTCAAGGTCTCACTAAATCTGCTAAATTGTCCAGGCTGGGCTTGAACTTGAAATTCTGCCTCTGCCTCTGCCTCTCAGAGTACTGGGATTACAGGCATATGCCTTCATTATTTATTTTTATTTATTATTATTATTTTGGTGTTTTTGAAACAGAATCTCATTATGTAGCCCAGGCCGACCTTGAACTTGCAGGGATCCTCCTGCCTCAGCCTCCTAAGTGCTGGGATTGCAGGTGCACACCACCACACCAACCACATATTCTGCATTTTTTTTTTTTTTTTTTTTTTTTTTTACACGT